GGGGGGGGGGGGGGGGGGGGGGGAGGGGAGGGATTTAGGTATGACAAGATACCTTCAGGATAATATAAAGTCATGTACCTACCACATTGTTCAAGGCCATACTGATTGGGAAAATTGTGAATGTGATTGGGAATGTCCACGGGAAGATTGGTATCTTTCTGTGCTCTTATTCGGTGTGTATTCCATACAGTCTCACGAAAGACATCTAGCTCTTTTTGAACCAGTGGTACCATAACAAATGCCAAAAGCAGCCTAACAGTTTACAAAACAGTCAGAAAAATGTAGGACTATATGCATAACCAGGGGCTTCATTATTGGAGGACAACTGGTTTTCTTAGGCAGCCAAAACTTTTTGAATTGAACTTCTTTTCAGGAAAAACAGTCCTCTAAATTGTCAAATCAGGAAGACCAAACCAACTTCTCAGCTGGTCAATTTGCCTGGTCTCTGGCCCGTAACAAAACCCCAGCATAACCATGGTGACTTGTTGGTGTTTCAGTTATTTTGCCAAATTAATAGCAAATTCACAACAATCACAAGTCGCAATTGCAAAAATCACAAATTTGTCAGCAAAAAAATGAGGCAATGGGATCAAAAGAGGCCAAGATAATTTTTTCCCCACTGATTTTTGAGCTGCATGAGCAAATAAAGTTGCAAGCACTTGAGTAAGTGATCTCACTCATGTTCTAATCAGCTGAAAGACAAGAATTACGTCCTAAAGCAACCATGAAAGTGAAGTAAAAGTTGCTATCACCAAGTAATATTGCAGACACATATAATAGTCATGTCATTTAAAAATAGCAAATTAAGAACACTGGTTGCTCTAAGCTTGTGTACCTGTCTGTATCACTATGAGGATTGTTATGGCCCTGGTCCTTCAGCCAGGCTAATTGGTCTTTAAAGTACTTCTCCATTCTCTCATGCAATTCTTTCCACCACCTCTCTATCTAAAAATACGTAAATTGTATGTTATGTCATGGAAGGGGACATTTATTACTAAATTATGTTTAGGATGAACAAAAGCAAATTATATTGTTTTAACCACTGCAGACAGATGTTCAAAGAAAATAATATTATTGCAAACTGATGCCTTAGAGCTAACCGAACATTTATTGGTTTCACTCCGAAGAAGGGCTATGTGCAAAACGTTTGTGACTTTTCACAAGATGACACTGGCATTTGACCTCAGTTTTTACAACCCTTTGGTAGGACAAGAGGGGTAATCTTTGATTTGAGGTGGTCATCTTCAATTTCCTGTATCTCTCCAAAAATGTCTGTGTGCCTGATAATACCAACTCCAAGCTTTCAAAAAATATTTCCTAAAATTATAATATTATTAAAATAATATTTCTTAGTATTTTCTTTATTTTAACTAAATAATAAGCATCCTTGGCACACTTAAAATACCTTTAGACTTCACGTTGCATTAAATTTTGAGGACCAGTTCTCTTCTGAAGTACAGTCACAGAATTTCAATTTTCATTGTTTGGCTGTTATGAAAAGGTTTCTGAATGTGTTATTACATTTGGGTCAACATATTGCTCACCGCCAGTTTTTGTCTACAAGGGGCCATTATGGGGAAATTTCAATACAGTGGTGAAAGGGTCCCTAGCCCTAGGTAGCACTGTGTGTGATGTAGGTCAGGGTTATATACCTGATTTGAAGTTGAAGGGCCATACACAACAGTATTGTGTGTATCCATATCTCCATGATGTCGGCGTAAGAAGGAATGTATAGTGGCCATAGTACCAGTCTCAGTTCCCTTGTCAACTCTAAGTAATGCAGGTATAACTTTCATTTGAAGTAGGTGTTCCAGATACCATTTTCCAATTAACTGTGGATCGGATTTGTAATCCAAACTTTTAGCCAAAGCAGCTTCCTGCTTGCAGTATCCATGCAACCATATATTGCTAAGGGGAAAGTGAAGTTTTGGTAACCCATGAGTTTGTCATGACGATCTAAAGAGTGGACCCAGTTGGCACCCCGAGTTGTGAAGTTTCCTTTCCTTCGTTCTTTCTTAGCTCCAACACCACCGCACATTTCAAGTCCTTCTGGGTCCAGATCGTACATAACATCATAAAGTTTGTCTCTCGTAACATTAAGCCCATATTCTTGTCTGATCTTCTTATGCATTGCTTGGTAACCTAAGAGCTGACTGGGGCCTTTCAACTCGTTCTCGACAGCCTGCGTAACATCATCAATCCCAATGCTATTGCTATTGTAGTAAATTTCGAAGTGACGAAGCCTCCTATCAAGGCTCCGGATGCACCACGGGTATTGTGGAAAATCACGTTTCAAAAAATCCAATATTTCTGATCTTTGCAAACTTTGCTGCACATATTGAGACATAGTTTCCTTAAGATTTTCATCATGGACCCAAGATGCCGTATGACCGTCCGCCATTTTGAAAGATTTGGTCAACGTACGTATGGCGTGATGGGAAGATTAAATCTCGCAAGGTACGCTGGTAGTGGCAGCGCTCGGCCATGCCAAAATTGATTTCACTTTGCAATCGAAAGTGAATGTAACTTTTGGTATGGCCAAGCGCTGCCAGTAATATTGTTTTACATTCTTCTTTAAAAACGTATTTCATTTCAATTTGCCTACACTTTGCCTTCTATTTTGTTTGCATTGTACTTTAATAATGCTTTAACTTTAATTCTGAACCGTGTTTGACTTTGCTGTGCACTTGCATTTTGTTTTACGTTGGCTTTCACTTTGC